TAGCAGGGGTTGGTGGTGGTGGTGGGGATGGTGGGGTATTTGAAGCTCCAGGTCCTGCTGGAAGCCCCACCCTGCCTTTGTTTGGCCCACCTGGCCAGGTGTTGAGTGAACAGGCTTGGGTCATAGCCTTGCGGTCCATGGGGTCTCCATAGGGTGGCCCTGGGTGGGCTGCCGGGCCCCTCTGAAGTATTAAGTTCCTGCTGCTTCTTGCTATATCAGCTTTCCTGAGGCAGCCTTCATGCTGCGAAGCTAAACTCAGACAGACTCAGTCTGGGGGTCTTTCTAATTTTCCCGAAAGCTTAGTTCAGTCTGAACACATTCCTGAGGGTCAGCCCCACCCCCCACTTCATGGGCCCTAATCCATGTCTGAGTTTGGGTATCTTATCTGACGATGTCCTGCTTTTCCCTAATCCCTGTCTACGCCAGCCCCTCTTTCTGCAGACATCAGGGCATATAGGTCATGAAGTGAAGAGAGGATTTCAGTCTGGAAGAATCTCCTGGAGGAGCTTGTTAAAAACACAGGCTGCTGGGCCTGACCTTGGAGGTTCCGATTTAGGGGGTTAGGGGCGGAGCCTGCGAGTCTGCAAGTTGAACAATAGCCCAAGATATTCTTGATTCAGGTGGCAATGGCAGAAATTTTGAGAAATCCTGGGAGGTGAGAAAGGGGGAGCAGCACCGAAGGCAGATGGCCTTGTTGGGATCCTCTGGCATCACCTCTGGAAATGTTTCTTCACCTGTAGAGTGGAGATGGTAGTACCGTAAGGTCCCTACCCATGGGGCTTGGTATATGGTAAGTGTTCAGTGATTAGTGCAATCCCTGTGGCCTCAGCCTCCTGGAACCAACACTCTGCCCTTGGTTTCCCTGAAGGGGAAAACTGGTCAGCTTCGAGGCCATTCTCAATGCTGTTTTATGGCAGGAACCATTTCCTAGGAGGCAGGTGGTATGTGCATGCACAGAGTGGCTCCCTAACTTCCCTCTGGGTTTCCCCAGCATAATACACTCTTGTAAAGGGCAGGACCCCAACCCTTTCCAACATGTCTGGTTGATCTCACCAGGGCCAGGGGGACCAGGGGAGAGATGGGCTTCCTGAGCAGTTTGTATGCCACCCACCCAACTCTTAGCCCCTGCTCACACCAGCGCTCTGCTCTGTCCCCTCGGGGCTCTGCCACGTTTGCCTGCCTGCCTGCCTGCCTGCCTGCCCAGGCTGTTACCACCACCCACGGTTACTCAGCTCTGGTCATGAGTGGCAGCTTTCAGTGCCTGGCAGCCCTCAGAGAGGCCTGGAGGAAACGGGATAGGCATCAGCTGAACACAGCGCAATTATGAATCGGGTAGCACAAAATCCAACCCTGCTGTTCCAAGCAGCTGAAAGGACTCTTTGGATTATCTATGTCAGCGAGTGAGGATGGAAAAGAAAGCAGCAGGGCCTGAATTCTCCCGGAATAAATGAGGGCTTCTCCAGGGGGCTCTTTCTTCTTTCCAGGGGAGGGGAGAGCTGTGAGGCATCCTGTCCCCATCTGAGAGCTGAACTGACTTCTCCTCGAACCCGATGCTCGCTCTGCTACTCTTCTGCTCAAGAACCTGCTGTGGCTGGGCTGTCAATCAAACTGCCTCACCCTCCCATGACCCCCACCCCCACCTCCCGCCACGCCTCTGGCGCATGCAGACACGATTCCTCACTGGAGGAGCATTCCAATCTCTGTATCTTTGGTTACACTGTACCTCCCATCTGGAATGACCTCTCAACCTGTGTCATTTTCAAGACAGCCTCCTCCACGAAGCCCTCCCTGACAACCCCAGCCTGTTTGAGCTTTCTTTTTTCTTACCAGCTAGCATCAGACACCGAGGGCTTCAGGTCCTCTAAGTGAGTGTGTGGAGTGGGCATTAGAAGCAGATAAACACAGCCTTGCTCTGCCCCTTCCTGGCTATGTCATCCTGAGCAAGGAACTTCCCTTGTGTGAGCCTCAGGTTCCCCCCTACCCATGGGAGGAAATAGTCCTGACAGGACTGCAGTGTATAAAGTGTTTTGCACGGCTGGCTCACCCAGTCAGTCCAATTCTCTCATTTTACAGATGGGAGACTGAGGCTCAGTGAAGGGAAGTGGCTTGCCCAGATCCATGTCTCCAGTTAGTGATAGGAGTAAGGCTGGCCCTCTGATGGCAGGATGCGTTTTACCTAGCAACGCGTGGCATCCTATCCTTTGACTGCATTTACAGAACTTTCTCCGGCAAGTCTTCCATCCTTTGGTACCGTCTGGGAACTACGGGGGCCCAGGAGACAGCCAGGAGTAGCCAAGGGCCTAGCACTAAGGGGTGGGGGACAGGGTGGCCTGGGGCGGGAGCTCCCAGCCTTCTGGAGATAAGCCCCCAATTTGAGAGGGGTACAAGGCTATGACTGAACACAAGGGGGTGGCAGAGAGCTCCCTGAGCCGTGGCAGCGTGGGGACCAACTAGAAATGTTGGGGAAAGTCCAGCTGATGCCGTCTGAACTGGAGGCACCACTGGTTAGTTAACAGCCACCACTCCGAGCCCTTAAGTGTCCCTGACTGTGCTGCCGCCCTTGCCCCTACTCTGAAGCTTTTTGGTCTAGCACTAAAATCACCATCTAGTCCGATGGGTCTGCCCACGTTTTACCAGCTGAGATCTTTTGAATATCATCCCCCAAGAAGAGGCCTGCTGATCATCCACAATAACCCATTTTGGGGGGCTAAAATGGGGTTAGTAGGAGTGGGGGGCGATGGCACAGCACTCTATCGCCCAGCCTAGCCTTGCCCAGATCTGCTAGTCACACCCTTGCAGAGCAGCTGGTCCCATTTCCACGGTGCCCTGGTCTGTGTTTACAAGGCAGCTTTCTTTCTTCAAGTACCAACTGTGTGCAGAGCAGCCGGAAACTCCTCTCACACTGCTGGGCAGGTGGGGCTGGCACTTGGGGAGATGGAGCCAGGAAAGGATTAGTAACTAGGCAGCGGGTGGGCGGCTCAGAGCTGTGTGCCTGGGCGAGCAGCAGCACGGCCTGCCACTCCCCTCCGAGAAGCAAGCAAGAGGTGCTGAGAGGAGCGGCTCCAGCAGTGGGGAGCGATGGGCATCTGCCTGCACCCCGGGATGGTCACAGTGATGTCTGTCTGTTACCCTGAAGTGGAGATACAGGGGGTTGGGGTAGCACCCTTACTCTTGAGAAGCAGGCACATGGGAGCCCAGGACCTCTGAGGACTCGGGCCCTGGAGGGTAGATGGGCAGACATGCTGGCTAGCAGACACCAGCCTAGCGGCTTAGGGCAGGAAGCCATCTGACAGGAAGCACAGAGTGCCAGGCCCCTGTGGGGGCCCCAGAGCCGTGGGGTGGGGGGCAGGCTGGGGAGATGGAGTTAATCTGAAATGCATCAGGGCAGCTCCCTCCAGAAGGTGACCTTGTGTGCTAGGACAGCTGCCACCCGTGCTGGGCATCTTTGGGGCACAAAGGGCGGCTGGCTGGGCCAAGGCCGGCTAGTTTGTGGGAAACCAGCCAAGGTGTTCCCTGTGGCTCACTCTGCTGTTCCCTCTGGGGGACCATGCTCCTCTCTAATCCCTTCCTTCCCTTTGCATCTCAGGCTCTGGAGAACAGGTGAGTGACAGACGACAGGCTGGTCCATGCTGGATGCTCTCTCCGACCAAGGGGCGTTTAGCTGGCCACCTGCAGCCTGAATCTTTCCCACTGGTCAGTCTCCCTGGGACAAAGGGAAAGGTCCTGAGACGAGGCATCCCTGCCCTCCCTCCTTTAGATTCCCTGCCTCCTCCTTCTACACAAAGACATTCGATTGCATGTGAGGCGGAGCCCATCTGCGCAGATTAGCTGACCAGGATAAAGTGATCATTCCTGTGGCTTTGACTGGGGGTCCATGTGTACTGCAGGGCTCTAACACTCCCACTATCACAGCTCATCTAATAACCAGACCCCCTTCTTCTGGCCCGGGAGAGCTGAGTGCATCCCTGTCAACTCCCTGCTCCTAATGCATCTTGCAGAGGCTCACCCTGATTTGCAAGGCATTAAACACTGTTCTGAGCCACTTCCAACACACTTCTTTCATTGCCTGTGCTTTTGACGAGCCAGAGCCAGAAAGACACATGGATGTTTAGTGTCCTCCATGTGCTTTCTCAGCCCTGGGCCTTCTACATCCCTGAGGGTATGTAGAGCATCACGGGTCACTTGACACGTCCCAAGGGTGCCAGGGTCTCTCTTAGAACTTACAGAGAACAAGGGTCATTTTATAACTAAAGGATTTATTTTCATTCAATTCACTAACCGATTGGTTCACTCAGGTGCCTGCATTTGCTCACCGGAGGGAGACTGCAGCCAGACCCCTTAGCTGATGGGTTTTCCCATGGCCAAGACCTTTCAGATCTGGGCAGAGGTCTGGAGGACGGAGGGAGGTGGGACAGCAGTCACACACTTTCTCCCCAGGGAGGAAAGGAGCAAGCCTGCGCACGTCTCTGAGGGTGATGCTCTGGAGGCTGGGATATCACAGTGAATGATCTGGGTCCTGGCCTCTGATGCAGCCTGGTTTAGGCTCCCAGAGGTGAAACTGGGTTCTGGCCATCGGAGGGCACTCAGGAACCTCAAAGGGGCCTCTTTGCCTGGAAAGTACTGGATAGACTGGGGCAGAAGGAGAGTGGACAAGTGGGCAGCGACTTCTGGCTCTGCAGCCTCAGAGTCTACTTCCTGCTCAATCTGCTGCTTTTAAAAACAGTCCTGGGTGGGGGTGGGGGGGTGCTCCTCCACCTTGGCCCCCCACCTTCTGCCCATATCTCACTCAGTCTCTGAAAGGCCCAGATGGCCCCGTGGCAGTTGGCTTTGGTGAGGCCTGGCAGCAGGTGGGGACTCTATGCAGGGGAGGAGGAAAGGGTGTCAATGAAAACCATATAAAAATCCAGAAATGTGCATATAAAATCTCGCCCTTGGTGTATTGCCTAAGTCAGTAAGCAGAAAGCACCTTCTTCCTGGAGAAGGATCAAGTCCTCAGAAGGTAGGAAATGTCAAAGTGTTACTTCATTGTCATTAAAAAAAAAACCCAACAAACAAACCCCCAAACCAAATCCACCCCTGACCAAAATACCCCTGGTCCACTTCCCGTCCGCTGTAAACAAACCCAGGTGCAGGATCAACCCTTCTCAGTGGCAGTCGTAGCTGATGGCAGTCATGGTAGCATCAGTCCTCCAGGTGGGGGCTGGTGGGAGTGGGTGCCCAGGGGGGCCGGGGGCCGCTGGCTGTGCACATGATATGGAGATGGAGCTGCAGGCCTGGGCAGGGGGTGACCAGCCTCAGGAAGTCTTGCCTTCCTGGTGTCCTCGTGTTCTCCCTGACCCAGGAGGACAAAAGCCACCTTTCAGCCCCATGAGCCCACAGGAGAAACAAGTCTCTTTCATTGGAGTTTCTAAAATATTCTCCAAAGGCAGAAAAATTCTTCTGTTTGCCCAGAGGCAGTGGGATGTTCCCACAGTGGTTCCCGGTGACTGCCCGTCTGTCCGCCTGCCCCGTCCGCCTGGTGCGTGGCTGTTGAGTGAGGCCTGGAAGAGCAGCCCATGGACAGGAGAGGAGGGTGGCCGCGGTCTCTCCCCTTCACATTTGTTCTCCTGAAAGTGTTTCTTGGCTCTGGCCAGATTGCCTTCCCAGAGGGAGGTTGGAGAGAAACTGCTTTTGGTCTCCGATTAGACAAATCGCACGGATCTCCCAAGCCCTTTTTTTTTTTCCGCCCAAGAACAATGATCGCTTTCCTTATGAGAATCCTCTTTAAAAAATATGCCTTGTATTTCCCGCCCCCTCCCAGGATCTGTTTTCTTTTGTTCCCATTCCCTTTTTTTCCATCATCTGAGTTGCATGTGTTCTTGGTGATATCTCATGGCTGGAGCGCTGCTTGGTTCTTCCTGTTGCCCGTGGCCGCCTGGCAGGTGGCTGACCCTGCAGTAGACAGAGAACTGGGGGGCCAGCGTAGGGCAGAGGGGGCGGGGCCTGGAGGAAGAGATGAGCTGAGGCAGGCGAATGTCAAACCTCCACAGATTGGATCTGGTTCATCTGTGCCCGCATCACCTGGATACTGTTCAGGATTTTTTTCTGGTGGCCAGCCAAGGTGACCCCAACCCGGAGAATGTCCCTTTGGGAGAGAAGCATGTGTGTTAGGGAAATGTGGGGGTGGAGGGAACTTTGGGCCAGGTAGAGAGCCGCCTGGGCTTCTCTGGGGGTTTCCTGCTAAAGAGAGCATGGGAAGGGGTGAAGGGCATGGGGGAGTGGGCGGGTGTCCGGAGCTGAAGCGAGTGACTGACTGTGGTGGGGGGAGGAACACATCATTAGGAGTCCGGGCACTAGAGGCACTTGTCTCCTCTGCTACGGGGAAGCGGAAGGGAACTTGCATTTACTAAGTACCCACTCACTCTGTATCTCTTTTGGTCTTCCTACCAACCCCCAGTTTGCAGAAGGAAAAACTGGGACTGAGGGAGGTTCTGTGATTTGCCCAAGGTCACACAGCCAGTAGGTGGCAGGCAGACCTAGGTATTAATCTGACTGTCACTCCAGAGTTGGCCATCTCACCCCTTGGTCCCCGCATCCCTGCTGGGGACTGTCTGTTTCTTACTCTCCAGAGCCCCCTGCTTGGTGGGGTGGGTAGAGGTGGCTGGGTACTTACTCCATCATCATCTGTGACACGACATCGAAGGAGGTGAAGCCGGCATTGGCGAAGCTCTCCTTGTACTGCCCCATCTTGATGGCCTCCAGCCATTCGTCCACTGTGTTAAAGCTGGTGTAGTCGGGGATCGTGCGGTCCAGCAGTGGTAGGTTGATTCTGAGGGTGGGGTGGATAACAGAGACAGTCAGGGCACATGCCGGCCTGGGGGTGAGGGTAAGGACGGGCACGGGCATACCTGCGGGCTGCGGGTGTTGCCTGCATGTGTGTATCCATCGGCGTGAATGCAGGTGAGTGTGCATGTATGTGGGTCTTCAGTTTGAACCCACGTAAGTGTGCACATGTATATGTGTGCGTATGCAAGAGTGAGTGTGCAGGACTCAAAGCTGGGGCTACCTGGAAAGCCTGGGACACCTCTGCAGGGACTGTGGAGAGACGGGACCACACTGTGAGGTGGGACACACTTCCCCACGCCGCTTCTTTCAGGAGGAGGGAGTTCAGCTGGACTAACTGTGTGATGATTCATAGTTTCCTCCCCCAGTGACATGCTCCGTCCTTCTCCACCTTGGTTGTGTTATGGGACGCTGATCTTACGCACCGCATCTCCGAAGTCCAGACAAGGCTGGTGCACCAATGGGAATGACTTCCTGGCAGGCACGGAGTGAAATTACCCTCATGGGGCTAAAAGCTCAGAGTGATTGTATCCGGAGCAGCTGACTCAGGGTCATGGTGAAGAGTGACAGGTAGAGGCAGACATGAAGATCTGTTGGCCACAAGAACTTGCCAGCTACAGGATTGAGGCCCAAAGAGTCTCTAGACACAGCCAGCCCTGGACCTGAGGTCACCAGACTGGATGCCTGCCTCTCAGAATCCCTGTGTGATTGAGGGTCCCGGAGAGTAAGAGTGTGCAGGGCCAGGGGCGGGGCCTGAGACAACCACCCACGCAAGGCAGTGGTGGCGTTTGTGTGTGTCGGGGGAGGGAGGGTAGGTATGTACTGCTGAATGTGTGTGCTCAGGTGCCTATGGGTGCACAGGTGTGAGAGTCTGAGAATAGGTGTATCCATGTGTGAGATTTTGTGTGTGTGTGTGTGTGTGTGTGTGTG